GGCTCAGTTTTATTGGTCTATATAAATTATCAAGTCAACAAAAAATGTCTTCCTCTTTCGGTACTAGACACTCTAAGGTTGTTTTGCACGAAGAGAAATTTAAAAAAAAAAACCTTAATTTCCCATTTATCAATGGATTTTCTGTGTATTTGTAATTATTGGTGCATTTATTCAAATAATCAAATGAACAACTGCAACTAAAGTATTGTTTTAATCCCAAAGGACCAGAGTCCAGAGTCTCCTGCCCTGTTTCTTACTAATTCCGTACTCCGCCTTGCTACAGCGCTCAGGAGCGAAAAACCTGATTCACGTGGCTGAAACTTCTCTGTGATTCAGGGATATTGCCCTGGCTTGTGTAATATCTTCCCCCTGTGTTTGTAGAGGGAACACAAAGACATTTCAAAATCCTGCCAACACAACTCAGAAACAAGTTGGGAATTTTCTTTGTGCCACGAGTAACAGACGTAAAACTATTTGCTTCCTAAAATGGTGATTTACCCAATAGATCACCATATAAAATTATATATGAAGAATGAGAATTATGAAGGTGAGTTTTATTTTTTGATACTACTGTGTGTGTGTCTGTGTGTGTGTGTGAAAGAGAAAGAGAAAAGGAAAGAGAGAGAGTGCTTATATGTCTAACGCTTCTAAGAAAAGTATTTGAGTCACAAACATAGAGCAGACCTCAGGGTACAAGGCATAAGACTTGGATCTTTTACTTTCTCAGATCTGTTCAACCTGACTTCCATGTACCCTTTTCTATATGTCACTAGAACGTCATTTATTTCAAATATATAACTAGAAATTAGCAATTAATAAGTGTGATATATGAATTCTAAAGTCATGAAAAATTACCTTATAGGACTGAAAACCAACATTCTCATACTGGCCACTCTGTGTAATAATGAAATAAAGGCTTCTTTTAAGGAACATGTTGTTGTGGAATTCCAAGATGCTTTTAATATTCATGATGAATACATTTTAATGTGCAGTAGTTGCATTTTAGGAGTAGAGATTCAACCTATAGTGGTCAATATTCTAATTCACAGTAAGTCCTGAAAAAAATTGATATATAATGAGACTGTGGGTAAGTAATTAACCTTCTCTGATTGGAAAAATGAACAATCAAGGACAACTCATGAACAGAGATTAGAAAAAAGTTATTTCTGGCCATCAGTGGGGTATCATTCAAATTATCCTAACGTAAAGATTTATATTATGTTCTAAAAACATTTCATGCAAGAATATGGCATTGGACTACTTTGATGTTAACTTTAAGCATTTAATTGAGTTGCAATATTTAATGAACATCTTTTTGTTGCTGTTATCTTTTCAGTAGAATCGTTGAAGTGTGCAGGTAAGTTTCCTCTGTGTTTTCTTATGTACAAGACCATATATTATGCAGAAATATTTTTGCTATTATTGACTAATCTTTTTAGAATCTAAAATTATGCAAATATAACAGGAAAAAGTGTAATTTGTTATGTTTTCTCCATCAGTGATAATTATATACAATTTTTAAAATTTAACACAATTTTTCTCATTGCCTTACTTATGATTATATATATATATATGTCATATAGATAACAGATTAATTTCAAAGCAATATTCAGTAGTGGAAAAATATGAGGATAAAAAAGTGACAGAGATTGAGTCATATGGACAGAAGTGGCTGTAGGAAACAATGTTGTTATAGAAATAAAAATTAATTTATATTCAAAATGAATGAAGTGGTACATATTATCCATGCTGTAGAAAATTGAAGAACATTTATTGAAAAATGAGCAGCTGATTTAGTAATAAGTCATTGCTGTTGATCATTGCCAATGAATTTACAGTGTAATACTAGGAGAAAAAGTGTAATTGTACATGATAGATAAGACAAAGGCAGGTGATCTGGTCACTTTCTGAGGAAGAAGATTGGATGCAAGAACAAAGGTACCAATAGATATGACCATTTACCTAGAAATGGACCAAAACTTCCTGCTTGAACAGTACCAATAGTAATTATGTAAATAAGTCCAATTCTCTCAGGCATTTGAGAGAGAAGTAGAGAACT